CTCACGGGTCACTGCAAGGCCAGCTTGACCAAGAGGTCAAAGGCGACCGGGTCCCACTGACCCCTTGGGTTTTGGCCTCAGACTTGAGGTGAACGTGCAATTCCGTTATAGCCAGCCATGTGTCAGGCCCTTCTCCCATCGAGGTAGCTGCCATGGACTGTTGAAAGATCCCCCACCACCTTTGGTCACACAGGATCAGAGCTTACCACCCCGAACCCACCTGTCATCCTGATATCTGGCCCATTTCCTACTATCCTCAGCTCTTCCCAGAAGACTTGTCCTAGATAACCTAGAGAGGCATGCATGTCCTTGAGGAGTTGTGTGGGCGATGGGGAAGTGGGTAGATTGTCCCAGTACCAGGTGTACGGATATTCCTCCCCAATCATATTCTGTGAGAGAAACCCTTTGTGGGCAGTGAATTCGTGGGCAGTGGCCTGATGTCTGCTGCAGGAACACAGTGACATTGAATGCTCTTCTGAAGGCAGATTTAACAGCAGCAACACACTAAGCAAGCTGCTACCTCCCTGGCCCTTTCCAGTATTCTTGTTCCCCACGGACTTTCCTTTGGGTTTTTCTACAACATTGTTCTCTCTCTCTGTCTTTCTGTCTATCTCTCTGTCTCTCTTCTGCCACATTCCCGCCCAACGCCCTCTCATCCACTTCTTCTGGGCCTGCTTCCTTTTCTGCTCTCCATGTCTCTACATGATTGGGTTTCTTGGAGTGTCTTGAACTTCTTGCCCACGTGTGCCTTTAAAGGGAACATGGACATATAAGAACACACAATATTCATCACGGCAAAAAAAAAAAAAAAAAAAAAAAAAAAGAAATCAAAGTTGGAAAAGCTCTAACGGGAATTGTGTTTTTACATGTCACCGCAGAACTTATGTGAGTTATTACATTTTGTTAATAAGGCCGGGGCCAGCCAGGCACTACAGTTCAAGAACTTTGGGAAGTCAAGGTGAGTGGATTGTTTGAGCTCAGCAGTTCCAGTCCAGGATGAGCAATATGGCGGAACCCCATTTCTGTAAAAAATAACAATAATTTAAAAAAAAAAAACCATCGAAGGCCGGGCGCAGTGGCTCATGCCTGTAATCCCAGCACTTTGGGAGGTCGAGACGGGCGGATCATGAGGTCAGGAGATCGAGACCATCCCTGCTAACATGGAGAAATCTTGTCTCTACTAAAAATATTTTAAAAATTAGCCGGGCGTGGTGGTGGGTGCCTGTAGTCCCAGGTACTTGGGAGGCTGAGGCAGGAGAATGCCGTGAACCCAGGAGGCGGAGCTTGCAGTGAGCCGAGATCAAGCCACTGCACTCCATCCTGGGCGACAGAGCGAGACTTCCTCTCCAAAAAAAAAAAACCCATCCAAACAATAACCAAAACTAGCCCGGTGTGGTAGTACGCACTTGTTATCACAGCTACTTGGGAGGATGTGGTTGGGGGTTTGCTGGAGGTGAGAAAGTTGAGGCTGCACTGAGTCTTGAATGTGCCACAGCATTCCAGCCTGGGCAAGAGAGGAAGACTCCGTCTCAAGAAAGGAGGAAAGAATCAGAGTAGGAAAGAGAAAAGAAAGCCAAACTTTTGCCTCAGTATCAGTAACAAGAAACATGTGCACATACAGGACAGATACACACACACTGAGCACTGTCGTCTAGAAATAACCAATGTAATTGTGTTTTCTTTCCTTTTTGACTTTTTGTCTACATAATTTGTCCAACTTGTATTGATATTTTGTATTATTACCACTATCTTCTATCATCTTTGATACCTTAAATTATTTCTTTATAATCTTCTTTTTATTTCATAAATAATCATGACCATTTCAAATCCTATTTTACAGAACGGTAGAAAGATGAAAATGCGAAAGCCCGGAAATTTTCTTATTGTTGTTGTTTCAGACAGAATCTCACACTGTCCCTAGGGCTGGAGTGCAGTGGCATGGTATCAGCTCACTGCAACCTCCCCCTCCTGAGTTCAAGCGATTTTCCTGCCTCAGTCTCCCGAGTAGCTGGGATTACAGGCACCCGCCACTAAACCCAGGTAATTTTTTGTATTTTTAGTAGAGACGGGGTTTCACCATGTTGGCCAGGCTGGTCTTGAACTCCTGACCCCGTGATTCGCCCGCCTTGGCGTCCCAAAGTTTAGGGATTACAGGCGTGAGCCACCTCACCTAGGCAAGTCCAGGAAAATTTTGAGGGCTTGTCCTTCCATGTTGTTAAGTGCACACATGGAAATGTACTATAATGCCTTTTTTCTTTCTTTTTTTAAAAGAAAGGTTCTCGCTCTGATGCCCAAGATGGAGTGCAGTGGAGCAATCCCAGCTCACTGCAGCCACAACGTCCTGGGCACAAGCAATCCTCCCGCCTCAGCCTCCCGAGTAGCTGGAACTACAGGCCCACGCCATCATGCCTGGCTAATTTTTGTGTAGAGACGGGGTTTCACCAGGTTGGCCAGGTTGGTCTCGAACTCCTGGCCTCAAGTGATTTTCCCACCTCAGCCTTCCAAGGTGCTGGGATTACAGGCGTGAGCCACTGTGCCCAGCCTGAAGCTGTATTTCTTTTTGGTCAAATATTCGTTAGAGGAAATGTTTCTTCTTCAGTTTTACATTGCGGGGAGCCCAGCCCCTGTGGGCAGGGCGGCCATGAAGTTTAACCACCACTCAATCTAAACCGAACGAGAGCGCACACCTCCTCAGCCATGTAGGTGGGAACACGAGTGGGACGAAGGAATCTGAGGTCGCACCCTTCTCCCTCTGCCCGCCCTGCCACAGGAGACGCTTCCAGGCTCCCGACGGGGAGGGCCAGAAAGGCTCTCTACTAGGAGGACATCCCTACACTTGCCAGAACTAAAACTGAGGCAGCGGCAAGAACTCGGCGTCCAAAACGCTCCCCAAAGCCCTCCAATGCCCGCAGGACGCTGGAGCCAGCCCGGCTGCAGCCGCCATTGCGCAAGGTCGCGCGCCAGGCACTGGCTGCCCAGAAGCGGGAGCGCAAGGAAGGTCCTCTGTACCAGAAAGGCTGCCCACGGCACAAACACTGATCCCATGTCCTGTGTCAGGGAAAGGGAAGGCAAAGAAAAGAAAGAGAAGGCCAAGGAGACCTACCTGATTGAGGTCACGCGCCAGCGGGAAAGGCCCAGTCCGCTCTACGTCCCGCAGTTGCAACTCAGATACGGGGTAGGATGCCCCCTCCCCATTCCTGGGAGGTGAGGGCTGAAAGAATCCTGGGAGGGGAAGGGAGAGGAATCCGGTCTTCCTAGAGCCGGCTCCGCCCAGGATAGGAGTGGGGGGCGCCGGGGGTGGGGGTCCTCAGGCTGCCCCAGGAGCAAGAAGGGGCGGAGAGAGGCAGCCTTGGGAAAGTTGGGTGGGAAACCTCTCGTCTTAGCTAATTGCTGAGGAGTACCTATTTGTACCATTTGTTTCCTTTGAGTAAGGTCCTCGCTGGCAAGAGGGCAAAGGAGACTGATGTATCGAGAAAACGCAAAGTTTGCCTTTTAACATTCACAAAACTGTTTAGAGGAAAAAGAAGCTTAAGCAAGTACACTTTCAAGCGATGTTATAAGTTTATATCATCTGTATGCCTGACATTATTGAAAGCTTCAATTGCTCCCTCCCCAGGTGAGAGGCTTGTTCTCAAGACCAGACACTGCCGGTGCCCTATCACCTCCCACTTTTTTTCTGAAACTGCTAGGGGCCCAGCGCTGCTTCTGCAGCCTCCCAGGGGAGGCTGCTGGTGGCGGGTACGCCGCCTAGGTGGGTGGGGATGTGCTGAGGCCGAAGGAGTGACAGCGACTCGCAGGTTTCCCTTGCCTGCCAGTCCTCCGATTGATATTTTCTTTTGAAAAAAAGGATTTAAACGGCCGGGCGCAGTGGTTCACGCTTGTAATCCGAGCACTTTGGGAGGCCGAGGAGGATGGATCACCTGAGGTCGGGAGTTCGAGACCAGCCTGACCAACATGGAGAAACCCTGTCTCTATTGAAATGAAAATACAAAATTAGCCGGCATTGGTGGCGAATACCTGTAATCCCAGCTAGTCAGGAGGCTGAGGCAGGATAATCGCTTGAACCCGGGAGGTGGAGGTTGCGGTGAGTGGAGATCGCAGTATTGCACTCCAGCTTGGGCAACAAGAGCAAAACTCCGTCTCAAAAAAAAAAAAAAAGACTTGCTCCTCTTGCAGAATGGAGACACCTGTAGTGTATTAAGGAAAATGAAGATAATCTGTTGATGACAGTACTCTGAGGAGTGTTAACTTGGTGCGTGCATCCTCCCAGCACCCGGTTCCCACCTTGTTCCCTAAGGGGAGGGGAGATGCAAATAAAGGTCCTTTAAAAATAATAGCCTGGTGAGTTCCCAAGGCCCATGGGAATCATGCAAGCTATTCGGGTTGCTTAAAAACTTGACTGTGAAGATGTGGACGCTTTTTTTGTTGTTGTTGTTTCCTATTCACAATGTAGTCCTTGATTGGTTTTGGGGAGAATTTTTTTTTTTTCCACTAATACAAACGTATTTTCAGTGGAAACCAAAGTCATTCCTGCCCAGATACATTCTCCAGTGAAGTCATCTTAAAAGAGACACTTCAAAAAGAAATCCAAGGCTTCTGAGGGCACTACAACTGGCCTTTGACCAGCTCCAACTTCTCAATTTCCTGGCTCCATTTCACTCCTCACCAACTGACGTTCACACTCTCAGTCCGCCACCCCCACCCCAAGACCACCTGCTGCCAGATACTCCCAGACCTTTTCTCTTACTCATTCCCTTGCGGTTTGGGCAGAGGTGGGTAGGAATCACCAGGAGGTGGGGGGAGGAGGAGAATAAATGGGCACAGGTGATGTTTCATTCTTGTCATGCAGCTGCCTTCACCTGCTGAAGGGAGAGCTGGGGGAGGGGTTAAGGCTCTGCCACAACTCCACGTTGTGGAAAATGGAAACTGAAGAGCGTCCCCTCACCCCAGGTGGAATTACTCAAAAAATAACTGAGCTATGAATCTCAGCTGCCCCTCTCTGGATACTTCCCTGTCTTTCTCCTCCGTTATTTAAGGGAGGAATGTCCATCGCCTGACACAGTGAACCAAGTCATAGCCTTTTTTTCTGTCTACATTCCCTGAACGGACACAGATTCAATAAGCACTCATTGTGCCCAGAAACCAACGTCTACAGAGGTTAAATGACTTTGCCAAGGTAAATTAAGGTGGCAGGATGGATACAAACATGCCAGGCTCTCATGCTGCAAATCCTTTGCTTTCTCCTTGCAAACCGCCAAGCAGCTCAGTACAGGATGCTTGCCTGGGCAACAAGAGCGAAACTCCATCTCAAAACAAAAAACAAAAAAACAAAACTGCTCAATATCATTCATTTAGGCAAATAGGCAAATACAAAGGAAACTCACAAGCAGATACACCTCGCACTTATTAGGATGGCTAGAATAAAAAGAAAATTGAAAATAACAAGTGTGTGAGGCCGGGCGCGGTGACTCACGCCTGTAATCCCAGCACTTTGGGAGGCCGAGATGGGCAGATCACGACTTCAGGAGATCGAGACCATCCTGGCTAATACTAAAAATACAAAAAATTAGCCGGGAGTGGTGGCAGGCGCCTGTAGTCCCAGCTACTCCCTACTCGGGAGGCTGAGGCAGGAGAATGGTGTGAACCTGGGAGGCGGAGCTTGCAGTCAGCCGAGATCATGCCACTGCACTCAAGTCTGGGCGTCAGAGCAAGACTAGGTCTCAAAACAAAACAAAACAAAGCAAGTGTGTGAAGATGTAGAGAAATTGAAACTGTCATACACTGCTGGTGGGAAAGTAAAATGATGTAGATAGATATTTAATATTATCGAAAGCAACTTGGCACTTCCACAGAAAGTTAACCATAGTGTCATTTGATCCAGCAATCCCACTCCTGGGTATCTATCCAGAGGAAGTCATTATACAAAAAAGACACTTGCACACACATGTTTGTAGCAGCGCCATTCGCAAATGCAAAAATATGGAACCAGCCCAAATGCCCATCAACGAGTGAATAAAGAATATATGTGAATTTATATTATATATATACACACACACATATATATACACATATATGTGTGTGTGTGTATATATATACACACACACACACACATGTACACACCATGGACTACTACTTAGTCATAAAAGGAATTAAATAATGGCATTCACAGCAACCTGGGTGGAATTGGAGATTATTATTCTAAGTGAAGTAACTCAGGAATGGAAAACCAAACATCGTTTGTTCTCACTAACAAGTGGGAGCTAAGCTGTGAGGACACAAAGACATAAGAATGATACAATGGCTGGGCGCGGTGGCTCAAGCCTGTAATCCCAGCACTTTGGGAGGCCCAGACAGGCGGATCACGAGGTCAGGAGATCGAGACCATCCTGGCTAACACGGTGAAACCCCGTCTCTACTAAAAAATACAAAAAACTAACCGGGCGAGGTGGTGGGCGTCTGTAGTCCCAGCTACTCCGGAGGCTGAGGCAGGAGAATGGCGTAAACACGGGAGGCAGAGCTTGCAGTGAGCTGAGATCCAGCCACCACACTCCAGCCTGGGCGACAGATACAATGGGTCAGGGGGGTGGCTCATACCTGTAATTCCAGCACTTTCGGCGGCCGAGGCAGATGGATTACTTGACGTCAGGAGTTCAAGACCGGCCTGGCCAACATAGTGAAACCCCACCTTTACTAAAAATACAAAAATTAGCTGGGCATGATGGCACGCGCCTGTAATCCCAGCTACTCCGGAGGGTGAGGCAGGAGAATCGCTTGAGCCCAGGAGGCGGAGGTTGCAGTGAGCCGTGATTGCTCCACTGCACTCCAGCCTGGGCGACAGAGCGAGACTCCATCTAAAAAATATATATATATATATATACAATGGACTTTGGGGATGTGGGTGGGGGGGAGGGTGGGAAGGAGACAAAGGATAAAAGACTACACATTGGGTACAGTGTACACTGCTCGGGTAATGGGTGCACCAAAATGTCAAAAATCGCCACTAAAGAACTTATCCATGTAATCAAACACCACCTATTTCCCCAAAACCTATTGAAATAATAAAAAAGTTAAACATAGGGTTACCATGTGATCCAGCAATTCCCCTCCTAAGTATATACCCAAGAGAGCTAAAAACAGATATTCAAACAAAAGTTAGGCATGAATGTTTGTGGCAGCATTATTCATAAAACCCAAAAGGAGAAACAACCCAAATGTCCGTGAACTGGTGAAGGTTTAAACAAATGTGCTATATCCATACCATGGATTATTTTAGACATAACATGGAATGAAGCACAGATACATAATACAATGTGAATTTAACCGTAAAAAAATATGATAATACATTAAAGAACCAGACACAAAAGAATGCAGATTGCATGATCTCATTTATATGAAATGGCCAGAATAGGCAAATCTAAACAGACACAAAGTGGATTAGTAGATGCCAGGGGCTGGGGAAGGGGGAATAAGGAATGACTTCTAACAGAAATGGAGCTTTTGGCCGGGCGTGGTGGCTCACGCCTGTAATCCCACCACTTTGGGAGGCCGCGGTGGTCGGATCACCTGAGGTCAGGAGTTCGAGACAAGCTTGACCAACATGGAGAAACCCCATCTCGACTAAAAATACAAAATTAGCCAGGCGTGGTGGTGTACACCTGTAATCGCAGTTACTCAGGAGGCTGAGACAGGAGGATTGCTTGAACCTGGGAGGCAGAGGTTATGGTGATCCAACACTGTGCCATTGCACTCTAGCCTAGGAAACAAGCAAAACTCTGTCTCAAAAAAAAAAAAAAAAAAAAAAAAAAAAAAAAAAAAAAAAAAAAAAAAGAAAAAAGAAAAAAAAGGAAAAGAAAAAGAAAAGAAATGGAGCTTTCATTTTAGAAAAATGTTCTAAAATTGGTTGTGCTAATGGATGAACAATTTTCTGAATGTGCTGAAAAGTAGTGTTGTATATTTTTATATGGTGAATGTATATGGTACATGAACTGCGTATCAAAAATAAAAAAATAAACCAGCAGATAGATTTAGTAAAATTCAGGTACAAGATTGGTGGGAAATTTTATAATATGGGTGAATCAAGGTGAGAATACTGCAACTCACTGATCTTTTACATCAAATATGTGCAAAGCATATGTGAGTGTGGCCAGGTGTGGTGGCTCATGCCTGTAATCCCAGCACTTTGGGAGGCTGAGGCAGGCGGATCACCTGAGGTCAGGAGTTCAAGACCAACCTGGCCAACATGGCAAAAACCCGTCTCTACTAAAAATACAAAAATTAGCCAGGTGTGGTGATACGTGCCTGTAGTTCCAGCTACTCTACTCAGAAGGCTGAGGCAGGAGAATTGCTTGAACCCAGGAGGCAGAGGTGGCAGTGAGCAATTGCACCACCGTACTCTAGCTTGGGCAACAGAGTGAGACTCCGTCTCAAAAAATAATAATAATATGTGAGTGCTGATATCATGCAATCAAAGTACAAAGCATCAACTATGAATGTTCCTGCCAAAAAAAATTGTACCTAAATCTAACCAAATCCATAGATATAACTACAAGATATTCTCCTTAAAAAGGACTATGTTTTGCACTGGAATGGATACAGTGAAATGTAGAAGGTGAATAATTCTACAGGACAAATAATAAACTAGTCTCTCACCAAAAGAATAGCAAAGAAATAAACGGGAAGAGTTATTACAGATTAGAAGATGAAGAGGAAATATTTGAATCAATGTTATCTGCAATACTTCTTCTTCTCCTTCTCCTTCTTCTTCTTCTTCTTCATTTTTTTTTTTTTTTTTTTAAATTGAG